TCGATCTGGGCTTGGAATCTTAACAACGTCTGCTGACGGCTTTGCAGAGCTCTCAACTATACAATAAAAGTAACATTACAATATACATTAACGAATTAGCACTAATTTAAAATATTGTACGGTAAAATAAATTTCATATTTAATATTGCAATATTTTAATAATGATTTTTAAATTTTTAATTGCCAATTTTTTTATCTTTGTAATTTTACTCAGTCTTTCAATTCAGCATATGCTGCAACAGACTGTTTTGTATGTGAGCTTATTTTTTACAATAAAATATACCCAAATATAAAATTAAACAAATTATTTGTTAATAAAATTATATAAAAAATGTATACTGAAGTGTCAATTAAATAAGAAATTCATGTTAAAATATTCAATTTCATGGAGAACTACAAATAAAAACAAAAAGAAATTACGATACATCTATAGAAATAAATAATAAAGTGATAGCAACAAAAAATAAAATAACCAAATTTAATTCAGACTATATATACAGTACCTCCTCCTGTTGTTGTAGCATTTTCTTGAGGAGATCGTGCTGCTGTTTCAGGCTGGCTAACTCCTCCATTTGCTCACTCACATTAGGATTACCCTACAGAAGAAATAATTAATTATTAAAACTTAATTTTTCAACTGATCATTACTGATATAATTACTCAATGCATGTATAAAATAGACTAATGATAAGTAATAGCTGGAAAAGCCAAGAATAAGTAGCAAAATGGGGGTGGGGGAGGGTGGGGAAAAGAATATATACACTTGTGGGATTCATATCACTGACAGGCAAAGTATTCCATGCTTGCAATAAAGGAAGTATACAAATTAGCAATCATGCTAAACTATAAGAAAAAATAAGTTCCTGTTTACACTACAAATATCAAATTTGTAATTCAATGCTAAGAAGTCTGTCGTTTATTGTAAAAGGTACCGAAGAAATTTCTTACAGTGTAAGTAGAGTTGGACTCAAGAATGAAATAAACAGTGGTATGTTTATTTTGGGGTGGGGTTGTTAAGATTGAACCTAGAGCCACCGGACTGGAAGTAGTGCACCCAACCATCAAACCACAACTTCCTAATTAATAAAAAATGACAGGATATAGCATAGGAAATGTTTGCCAGCATGTAGACTATACACATAGTGGCTTGGAACTTGCATAAGTATACTAGTGACAAATATCATAAAGATAAACAGGGAATTATTCAATCAAGATTAACAATAGAAGATCTATGGGTAAAAAATAAAAGTTATAAATTACAATATAATAGAAAGAATGTAAACGGAAGACATTCAACATCTAAAAATTAAGTAAATTATTCAGATATCTATTTTATTATAAATATATTACGATAAATATATTAGTCGGGACTTTTTTTATACCTTGTTTCGCGAACTTATTTTTGTATAAGATCGTCAAATGAGGGCAGATAAAAAAAAAAAAATTTTTTTATTATTTAGCAAATGCTTCTGCCAAAAACATCCAGAGGGAGAAACTTTTAAAAAATGTTATTGTTGAATGTAAACAGTGTAGTGTTATGGGATGGTTAAATGCTTTAACTTATATAACTAGGAAGAAATACACATCTTATTTTGGAAAATTTCAAGGCAACAGCTGGCATAATAAAAATAAAGAAAAACTTTTTTTTTCCCCTGCAATTTTCATTTTTCGTGGCGAATTGGCCAAAAATAAAATGTTATTTTTATTCAAAATCATTATTATTGGCAGGTGGTGGGTTCACTAAACAAGGTATAAAAAAAGTCTTTGCTTAATCTACATGTATTGCTAACTTCAGGAAACACAAAAAACCTAAATTTCAATGATATTCAATAACAGATCTTCCTTTGCTAGCATTCAAGCCTAACACCTTTACCTCAACACAAATGGTGGAGCCTAGTCCAGACTATCAAATTTTACGGTTGTATGCCCATATATAGTCATGATGTGCCTATATATGGTCATGATGTGATGTCATCATGACCATATTTAGTCTGGATAGGGCTTAAGTATCTTTAAAGCTCCATTCACACTGTCACGTTTCCTGTGACAAATACCCATACATGGGCATGATGATGTCATGTCACACCCATATATGGCAAATCACTGGTACTGTCAGAGAACCATGTTATTGAACATACATTCATTTAGTATAATGGACATCATGCAAAAAAAATAATTATTATAATTTTTAATGTTAAAATATAAATAATAAAATGGCAAGCTGGCATCCAGGGGTGCTATTTTACTTCAAATACTTGCTTCAATTTTAATCATCCACATAAAATAGAAAACAAAACAAAACAAAAAAGTTTTAATCTCACAACAATTATTCTATTCTGTAAAACACAAATTTTATAATTTGTAAATTCCACTCCTTTATCTAACATCATGTAGTGACATTAAGAAGATCTATATTTTTGTTACTGTTTGAATGGAAGGCTAAATAATTGAAGGATTTTAATAAGTCAAGTACTCAGTTCACAAATATTTTTCTTTTGGTAACAAAAATAACCAGTAAGTATATGAAGAAGAGTTAGCAAGTAAGATATATTGTTAGTATATTGATTAAATGCCATATTAAATGAAAAAGCAGCAGTAGTTAAGAAATGTATGCTTCCTCAGAAGAACAGTTATCTAATATTGTTATATTTATGATCATGTTCTTATTGGGAATTTGAGTTTCTATTTCCCTTTTAAATCAAAAGTGAATGTTATTGATTGATTGAATCTTGCATGTTATGCAAGCTTAGAGGAGGTGAAAATTTAGTAACATTTTAATTTTGTTAATCAAATTCTAATCAAATCATGTGTGTAGCCATAGGCTTAATGTTATTATTTATTACAGTAATAATAATTACAGTATTCATTTTATCATTTAGGTACAGAAAAAATCTTAATTATAATATGAACGTGATGCTTCATGAAGTATAAAGTCTCACCAGTAAAGTCTTACCACAAGGCTTATGGAAGGGAGATATTTTTTTAGTTTTTCTATCCTACTTTTGCTGGTTATGTAGCAAGAGAATAAGAGGTATGCATCTAAAAGGCGGGAACACAGTGTGGCGCAGTTGTAGGCTAACACTATTTCATGGAGAGCACGAGACTCGGCAGTGTAACCGATCGTATTTAATGACAATTCGCCCAAACTGCCACCAACAGTCAAAAGATGTTGTCAGTGTCATCGAAGCACTAACAGAGGATTCAGATAGATTCATCATCCTACATTGTGTATCCAAACTACACCACAAAAATCAAGTGCAAATTAAAATTAAAATGATGTTAGAACCAGAGTTAAAAGATGAGATATTAAAAATTAAAAAAACACTGCAAGGAAATGACTGGGGATTTTAAGCTAATCAAATTCAATATAACTTTTTAATGGAATGAATGTTTAAAATGAAAACAATAAAAATAATTGTTAGAGCCTGGCTCCAGGGGAAAAAATTGTTGATATGTTGCACTGATTTTTCTCAGACACAAAAAGGGTGTTTGATGACAAACTCAGGGAATCTTAATGAGATATTGATTTTTAATATAAAAACTGAAGGAAAAGTGAAAAAAGGGCGGCACTCAATTTTTTCTCCGTTTTTAAATATTCAAAAATCTGTATCTCATATACCGTATTCAAGTTGTCAAACACACTTTTGTGTCTTGGAAATATCAGTTCTACAACATATCAACATTTGTTTTCCCTCCAGAGGGTGGCTTAAACACCACAGAAGTATTATGTCGGTGAAAAATATATATTAAGAGCTAAGTAAATAGTAATAAAATTATGTTAATAATGCTACCAACCAAAACTTTTAGGGTAATCAACAATAACTTAACATTTATTAATATAAGAGAAGAAAACAAATTTCACTATAAAAGATAGTAAAGGCAATACTTCCTCAAAAATCGAAACTAATTTTCATCCAAACCAGATTTTCAATGCAGATAAAAATGTAAATAAATGGAAGCATGCATGACGACGCTATTGGCTACACTTGTGCAGTATTCTCAGATAACGGAAACATATGTGAAAATGCCACCCCTGGATTGAGCCACTGTCTGCCACACTCTACCTCATCGTAAATGCCGGTATCCTCGGCTTCGCTCTCCGTCTGCGATCCAGCATCCCTCATTCCCCAACCACTGACACGGTTCGGCTGCGATTCTCCCTTCTTTACACACAACTTTCCCATCTCGTTCTTCTCGGAAGACACATCTTCGTAACTTTTCAACATATCACTAAATTGTCTGTGCAACTCCAGAGTGTCCATACTCAAGTATGAGTCGGAAAATTGGCCGCCTGCATCCGAGGCACCCGACACGCTCCCGTGGGAACTTCGACTGAAGTCAGAGCGGGCAGACAAGTTCTGCTCGGACTCGGAATCAAATTCTATATCGGAAGACGCTTTCCCCAGAGTACTTTCTATGCGTGGTCTTGTACGAGCGGTAAATGTACCCTCCTTTTGCAACAACAATCAGAGCATAGCAGACACATCAAAAAGAAAAAAAAAGTATGTGCAAAAAATGTGGACATAAATGCACAAAAAAAGGAAAGCTTGTCTTTAGCTTTTGAATTTTTATTATTGATAAAATTTGTAATTGATTAATTGATGAATAAATGGATTTATTTGTTGATTTGATTAGCAGCATGTTTTTGCTATGATACATTTCACACACATTTATTTATTTATAATTATTATATTTTCTACGTACAACAAAAACATTAAAATTACTGACAATAATATAAACTATAAACCAATAGACAAAGGATTACTATTTTTAAGCTAATATACAAAGAGTACAAGTATATAATTCATTCATTAATTCAATTATTTAATCATACAATCATTAATTCATTATTCCTTATACTGTTATAAATTCCGTACATTCTGTTGTACATTTACATAAATATATTAAGAAAAGAGAGTACCCACAAAACACCAATATTCTTTAAAAAAACAAAAGTCAATGTAAAAAATTGTATAAATTATAAATATAATTTTGGAATGTTAATGCTTACCGTTGTAGCTTCTGATATATCCGACTGACCGTCGATATTCAGTGACATGCTCTCGGCAGCTGAAGTGGCAAATGATTCGCCAGAGTTATTGCTGCTTCTGCCTCCTTTCAACGTTGCATCCTCCGCAAGCATTCTCTGCAGGAGGTCCATGTAACCCTTCTCCTGGTCTCCCAAATGGTCCTGCAGACGTTTCAGCTTGTCAATGTTTTCGTCCCTTCCGGAACCGTCGCTAACCCTCTGTAGGTTCGTCATCATGGACGTCGCTTGTCTCATGTAATCCTAAAATGCAAATTAAAACATTTTTGATGTACAATTTGATGGTAATATAGGATGTAAGGTCCAATCCAGACCACCAAATTTTACAAATACATGCGACATGCCTGAATATGGTCATGGTGACATCACATTATGACCATGTATAGACAAATAATGACTATATATGGGCATACAACAGGTCTATTTTTGAGTGGGAGGATAAATAGGCAATAAATATGTTTACTTACCCTAATTTGCATAAGTCTTCCCACAATCTGATTTCTGTCTGGTTGCTGAAATAGAAGTTAAATCCATTTAAAAACAAAAAACACATTTCAAGACCTATTCAGAATGATGTTAGCATATTTCTGGTTTCTGGTAAAAGGTTGGAGATGATTTACTTAATAGAAAATTGGTAAATCAATTTTGGCATCTCAAATATCAAATTAAATCCCTTTACACTCTGCGTTTTAATTCATTGCACATCAAACACCAACTATGTTTGTAAGCATCTCCTTTGCATATAATTAGATATCATCACACATCATACACCCACTCATATTGTATTTGAATATGCAAATGGTGTGCTTACCAGCTCATTATTAACATGGCCGTCTTCACCAGCAGACTTCAAGCTATCATGCCGAGCGCCGAGTGAGTTAGAGCTTTCCTCAGGCAGGACTGCTTCAGCTTGCCTTGCACTTGACTGCTGCCTAACATTGTTAATGGCAGTTGCTTCAAGCCTCTGGTTCCCTGACAACTGAAAATCAATTAATTATGCTTTATAAATAATTGCTTGTACATAGTCTAATATGTTTGGTCAAAAACACACATTTTTTTCTTAATTATATACAGTACTTTACTGATTGATTATCTTTCAATTCAAAAATATTACATGCAATAAATTTAATTTTAATCTGCAATATAAAAATTGAATTGGATTGTACAAAGTCTAACAAAAGACATTTATATTTTAAAATAAACAATGATAATGACTTGCATGGTAATAAAATTTGTCTTTAATGAACCTTTCCGCTAAGCCCTCCCCTTGGATATTGTTGCTAAGGTCCCACTAAGACCCCTGTTCTAATTGGTCAGTTAAGTTTGATTGATTTACCTCATCCATATCCTCAAGGAACAATTGCTGACGCAAACTCTCTAGAGCAGCTCGCTCTTTCGTTGAGGTTGTGTAGCGTGTCCTCGGAAACGTGGCCGGAGTGTGACGTCTAGTATCATTATCGCTGTTCGATGGAGACATTAACCCAGGTTGTTGCCCAGACTTCGGCTTCTCTTTGTTCTTCGACTTCTTGGGTTTGTCAAATGGACCATCAGCAAACATGGAACTTGGTTTCCACTACAAAAAGTATAATAAAGTCATATTTTACAAAAAAGAAAAAAAAAAATTTGTGCTGCAACTTAATAGCTTTTTTTCTTGAGCAATCAATAATTATTTTATGAGGATTTTAGAGGCATACCATGCAGCCAGCTATATTTTTAAATAAATATTAAATATTTCTATTTTAATTTAAAGAAATTTAATTTAATACCTTAAATGGTTTACCATCTAGCCAGTATATCTATATAATATTAAATATTTCTATTTTTAATAAAGGAAATTAATATCTTGAATAATACGATCCCAGAGCCAACATTTATATAAAATACAAAATAATATATAATACAAAATATAATGTGATTACCTGATTTAAACGAAAGTTAACATCCATTGCAGTACGAGTACGATTTGATCTCGGTCCGCCTTGCAACCTAGGCTCTGAAGTTTGTCCCCGCTGCATCGGGATACCTCCAGTAGCCATTGCACAACTTCAAGCTATAATAAATAATTAATAATTAGATAAACACAAAATTAGACAAAATTTTCTCAATGCATTTAAAAAAATCACAAGCACATTTGTGCCCCAAGTGTTTAAATACCCTAGGCTAGGAAGAGTTTAAGCCACTCTAGGCCAAGATATAATTGATGCCATCGCGTAGCCTACCAGAACGCTTGAAGAGTGAGGAGACATCGCGTCTAGGCTTAGCTAGGCTGTACACGCAGTGCATGCATATGATAGGCCAACATGCGTAATTCCGGAAAAAATTTTATTTGATTAAATTTAGCATAACTCTAAATATTCAACCAATTTTTGTCATCTAAACAGTAGATTACTCATCATATCAATGTGTTCTTTCCTTTGAATTTTATGTGAAACTAGGGTATATATAGTTGTCAATTAAAAATAAAGGATATAATTTTTTGTGTGCTCCTAGGCCTAGCTAGGCCTACTAAAAATAGTGGACATGATATACAGTAATATAGGCCCTAGAAAAATTAAGGCTCAGGCCTATGTTAAAATCTACTCTCTCTGTATTATTATTATTACTTTGCTAAATCAATTCATCATCTAGGACTAGGCCTAAATGTAATCCAATGGGTAAGGCTAAATAAAAACTCAATTTATTTTTGCAACACACAGTTTATTCACTTTTGAAATTAGGTAATTTTACACATTAATTATAGGCCTAAGTAAGCACATTCTATTTAACAACAGCTCTACATTTTCTTGAATATATATTATGCAATAAACGGGCATTTGGCAAATATAATTAACCGTACTTTCTTGGAACCTAGGCCTAGTGTACAAAAAAAAAAACTACAATACAATACAAAATGTCTGGGGGTCAGCAGTTGCAAGTTCTCTCTTCCTGTCGTCGCGGGGAAGGACACGATAGCTTCACTATACCATGACAACCAAATAGAAGGAAATACGATAACTACGGGGATATGTATGGTTTTGTCACATAAAAATAAAAACTTACGCATTCATTAAATACACACTAACCTTTTAGAGATATAAAATTGTAAAATATCTACGTTTTTTTACACTTGATACAGAAAACGTGAAAATCAATATTTTTGAGAAGCCAAACGACGACGGCCATCTTCTGTAAAGTAGCGCAAGTGCAAAACCTACATGGCGGATGTATATTGTTTGGAAAATAAAACTATAAACGTAAATCATAAGTTAATACAAGTTCACTCCTAATGGTCAAACAGTGTACGCATATTCTACTCAAAATCTAAAATACGTATTGTGTTTAATCAATTAACATAAGAGTACATAATTATTTACTTTATTTCTGAACTATATTTCCAACGCGGAGAATGTGCATGTGCAAGTAAGTATGGCGCGGAATATAATGTCAATGCTGATTGGTTAGTTTATTTGACCCTGGGAAATCGTCATAGTTGAAAGGTCGTGTGTACATGATCACTTCCTTCAAATTTTGTTGGCCTAGCCTATGCAAACACCAGGAGAAAGTGCCCTTTGGTGTCTTAGATTTGCTGTTATCATTATACGGTAGATTACTTTATACAGTCAAATAGTTAAACAAGTATTTAAGGTAGATAATATAATAAATTAAATATTATTATTGATCGATTGAAAACATTTAGTTTGACATGAGGATGAGTGCCCAGTCAGTGTGTTTGTTATTCTGACTGAGTTACGGTAGTCACTGCGCGAAGGTTGTTCGAGTCGGGGAAGAACAGGAGGAAAGGAGAGGAGGCCAGGCCTAGCATTCTTCCAGTGATTTTTGTTTATCTTCAGTAACTACTATGTAGTTGATGAAATATGAACATGTCAATAATATCATCATTAATTATTAGATTAATCCTTTATAACTTGCATACAAATCTATTAATTTTTTTTTTTTTTTTTAGGTTTTCAGTGATGGCAGGGAATTACTACTTTGTCATCGTAGGACATCAAGACAACCCAGTGTTCGAGTTGGAATTTAGCTCCCAAGCAAAAGGAGGTGAAATTAAGGTATAATAAGAAGAGTTATCTACTCAGACTAGGCCTATATATCTACTGAGACGACCTTCGGCACATTCTCGCTAATTAATTTAAAGTCATATTTAGCTCTCTGCCTCCCACTATGTTGAAGACGCATTTCCACTATCACATATTATTTTTATTATAAGATAAATAATATCTCATACATTACATAAATGTTTTTTTTTATATTTTTGAAAAACTAGGAGGATAATTAGAGACCAGGGCTTAGCAGAACTCTTCATTACTTTACATCTATTGTATTTTGTTGTATTTAATTTAAAATTTGATAATACAGTAATTTATTAAAATTAATATTTATTCAATTGAATGTTATATTATTTCTGTATTTCAATTTTCACTTGTAGAAAGATGACCACAGACATCTGAACCAGTTCATCGCTCACGCTGCTCTTGATCTTGTTGATGAGCAAATGTGGAATACAAATAACATGTAATGCCAATTAGTTTTACAGTCTGTTTTATATTAAAAGTTGTGGGTCAGCTCAGGCTCATAAACTTGAGGTCAGGGTTCAAACTCATGCTTCCATTGATCTTGTTGATGAGCAAATGTGGAATACAAATAACTTGTAATGCCAATTAGTTTTACAGTTTGTTTAATATTGAAAGATGTGGCTCAGCTCAGGCTAACAATCTTGAGGTCAGGGTTCAAGCTCCTTGCTGCAAATTCTGCTTGTGTTTTTGGCCAGTGTACCCAGGGTGGAGTATAAATGGGTACATTAGCGTTTTACTACTCTGTTTCTATTATATAAAATATTTCAATGCCTAAAACGCAATAGATCCCCCACTTGGGCTTTGCCACCTGACTTCACTGGTGACATTAGGCGGCCTCCAGACCATCCCCTGACCTCACTAGTGTCCTTGGGCGGCCTCCAGACCATCCTCTGACCTCACTAGTGACCTTGGGCGGCCTCCAGACCATTGTGACTTGGAAGCTGCATGCCCCAGGGCCCAATGTCAATCTTGGCAGCCTTGTTTTAAAATACTGGTTTTTTTCAGTATTTCCTGCCCTTTGTAGTAAGTAAAATAAAACTAATGTTTTTTTTATATATATATATTTTCAGGTATTTAAAGATTGTGGATAAATTCAACGAGTGGTTTGTTTCAGCATTTGTTACAGCTGGAGGTAATTATTTTTCATAATTTCAAATTGCCCAGTTTCCCTTAGTGTGATTGGTTGTCAGGTTGTGTGTGTGTGTGTGTGTGTGACCTCAATTAGGTCGTTGTACACATGCTAACAGAATATGGATTTTAAACTAATAATTTGTCCCTTGTATGTTTCACTTCAGGTATTAGATTTCTGATGCTACATGATGTGAAAAATGAAGATGGCATTAAAAATTTCTTTTCTGAAGTGTATGAGATATTTATAAAGGTAGGACACAAGATAGAAAAAATCTGGACCCCATTGGAAATAATGGACGCTTCCTCTAAGTCCCACCCCTTGGATATTGTTGCTAAGCTCCCATAAAACAATAAGATAAATGTATGTAAACATGTGTGTGTGTGTGTGTGACATGCATATTCCTAGCCTTTTTCTGATTGGTCAGTTGTTAAATTTGATTGACACTACAGAAAGGTCCATTTTGATGAAAAGTTTCATTTGCTTGTTACATAAAATATAAATGTAATGTATATGAAACCACATTAATATAATGTAATAATTGGGTTTTTTTTAATTTCTCTTTCAGTATTCGATGAATCCATTTCACGACCCCAGTTCGCCAATCAAATCGTCAGCTTTCGAGAAAAAATCTCAGTATTTGGCCAAAAAATTCTTAACTAGCTGACAATCAGCGATCAATATCTAGCCCACCGAGAAATATAACCAACTTTAAATTTATTAATTTGTTGATGTATTTGTTTGTCATTATGTTATCCCCAAAGTCTATTATTATCTGAATTATGATAATAAATCTGTATTGTATTTGTATATTATATATAAATAGTAAATTCACCTTTAAATTTTGTTGTGTTTGTGTCTCTGTGTTTACTTTTGTCAAGTTTGAAAGAGAAGTAACTACAGATAATGATTGTGTTGTAAACTGTACAGTATTTTCATTTGTGCCCAAAGTTTGCTAAAACAATTAAGTATATTACTGCATGGATGTGGGCTGGGGGAGGGGGTGTGGATGCAAATTAAGTGAGTTAAAATAAATACTTAAAATGACAATTAAGTTTTCATTGAAATATAGGGATTTAATTCTGCATTCTCAATTTTAACACCCCCAAGCTCTGCATTCTCAATTTTAACCCCCAAGCTCTGCATTCTCAATTTTAACACACCCAAGCTCTGCATTCTCAATTTTAACACACCCAAGCTCTGCATTCTCAATTTTAACACCCCCAAGCTCTGCATTCTCAATTTTAACACCCCAAGCTCTGCATTCTCAATTTTAACACCCCCAAGCTCTGCATTCTCAATTTTAACACCCCCAAGCTCTGCATTCTCAATTTTAACACCCCCAAGCTCTGCATTCTCAATTTTAACACCCCCAAGCTCTGCATTCTCAATTTTTGCACTGTGGCACACACCCACAGGGACAACAGAGAGTAGTGAAAGAAAGTATTTTGTATTCAAAAGAATTGCAGTATTTTGTTCTATGATTTTCAATGTTTTGTCAAAAAATCAAATACCTGATCGTACCAATAATTATATGAAAAGTGGTGTATTTAAAGAGTCTTAGGTTGAGGGAGGTGGGGGAGATGCTGAAGATAAAGGTGGATTAATGATTAATTGAGAAGAATTTAGCTCTAAAACACTGTAAGGTGATACGAGGTGATTTTTATCTGCTTGAGTCTAGCATGACTTTATTCCTTCAAACTTTTTCAGTGGGGGAATAAAGGCACAACTATTTTTCAGCATTCGGTTGCACCCCATCGATCTTCGTCAGATATGTACTAAGTTAAGCGGATAAATAATTATAGAATCTAGATTAAAAGTGATGTTATTATTCTTCTGAAAAATCAGTAAGCATATTTTAACTGGGTTTGTAATTTCTTTGATTCAAGTTTAACTTATGTGCAATAAAAAATTAATTTGTTTTTACTTTGTATTATTTACAATTTTGCAATTAATAGATTAGAAAGGTGATTAGGGTAGATGTCGATTATTCGGTGATGGTCGCACTGGCAACTAAGTGAAATTTGTAATTCGCGATATGACTTTAATATAATAGCATTGCTTTATCGATTTTGATCAATAGAGATTACAAAGTTATTGTATTATTTTGAAACAACCATGTATAATGTAAACGACCTGTGCATTATAATCTTTAAAATCTGGAGACAGATTATTATATTGAAATGTGATTTCGTTTTTATTCTAATATAAACAATGATTTACTTCTGTTACATCACGGACCTTCGCGGTTTATGAGGGGGTGGGGTTGTGATGGCATTTGAAACGTAACAACACCAATGTGACGTCAAATTTTACATAACATGAAGTGTAAATAATGATAATACGTCTAAAACCCGAAACAGGTATTGAAACGCAATATAAAAGTAAATAATTTGGTCAGTTTCTAAGAATATGGTTTATTTTATTTTGGATAATCCAAATTTTTATCGAAAAATAACAAAGATCATTTAATAGAAAACTATACAATAATTATTTATTTCCGATTCAGATGAATTTATTCACGAAATTTTCTAAGATTGTTTTTTAATGTTGTGACGCTTCTCTCGCTTTCTTTTGTTATCTTCTTTTCTTTGCATGCAGTGTTGGCCTACGTCGGCACTTTTAGACATTGTATTTTTATAGCACTAACAGTCGTGTCGTCACGACGCCAGGTGGCGCTCTCTGTTGTCAACACACATTTATTCCGCATCAATTAAAATTTACAAAGAAAAACAACATCTTAATAATTACGTTAATAACTGGGATCAATGGTTTCTCAGTGGAAAAAATGGCGCCCGGTTGAACTTTTTTTGCAACAGCAACGGAGTAGTATCACGCGGTATCGTGACGTAACACTGTAGTACTCTTTACTTTACATTATTATGGTTTAGTTTTAGTGATATGTGGATCGATTTTTTGTGTCAGTATGATTGGTAATTATATTATTAGTAGTGTATTGATTTTGAAATAATAAAAAGATGTAATTACGTAATGTATTGAATGCGTTTTAATTATTGATATTTTGAAATTATTACCTGCTAAAATATACCCAACATAGATTTAGATACATAATAATATACATCGATAAATCGATCATAAGACACTTTTGCTTCATTTACTGTTTTTTTAAATTTGTTTTTATTCTATTAAAATTCACTTTAACATCGTATATAAATTACTGTACAGTACACTATTAGAAGCCGGAGAGATGTTGCTGAATCAGCAATAATTATTGGATAGTTCTTTGTTGCCAATTTTTCGGAGAAGGTTAACTATCGACAATCTTTCACTATATCAGACGTACCTCATCAAATATTGAGAATATGGTAGCATTACCATCATTAAACCGTGGAGGAAAGTATTCCTGTGCTAACAAAGATATTCGGAATCCAAAGAGATTTTTGTTTGCTGCCCTCTAGTGGTAAATGTTTTATTAACTTTATATTATATATAAATAGTTTAAAGTATGGCACTATATTGCAGATTTTTATCCATCAAGAATGTACCAACATCTGACCTTTGTAAGTTGGTTAGCTTAAAAACAAATATCTCATATATGCTCCGTGCCAATATCCACGAGTTCATGTCATTTATGTTTTCTGCAATAAACCTCTGATATAGGCATACCCGTTAATATAACAAGTACAATTAGCCAGAACCACCTGTCGGGTAGAGCTTTCCCTTCCCCGTCTGGGAAATATAAGCAATTCACAGCAGGGGAAGGAAAAAATCTTATGTTTCAAAGAATATGAGATTTTAAATAGATTAAAATAAGCCGTTCAAATCTCTTAAAATGTGAGAGCTTTCGGCGATGACATGATCCGTCATTGCGCTGGATTCCTCTGAGTTTTAGGCAGCCCTATCCCCATCCACTTCCGCTCCCATGGGACCCGGCGTAGGACAAAAAAACAGTGTTCAAGCGCGAACGCCATATACGTCGTACGCGCGCATCGTTGCCATGCGACGTTAAGCATGGATTGCATAACAGGGAGTCAACAAAGTACGTACTGTATGATCAAAATAGAAGTGTAAAAGATGAATAAAACTAATGAAAGCGATTTTCTTTCAACTCTCCATCTTCAAGACCTAGATTCAGATTTAGGCAGCGTGACAGATGACGTAAGCTCAGTAACGAAGATGTTGGGACAGGCAACATCAAATGCAATGAACCTTCATTTGTATGTACAACAGATAATGAAAAACCATCCCGTAGCCATAACAACTGGTGGTAAAATAGTAAAGCATGAAAATTCGAGACTTACTAAACAAACAATTGATAAAAATTATAGGTCTATTGTCGATGAAAGTGATTTCAATCCGATATTCATGTCGACAAAGAAGCGCGGAAAACCAGACAACAAACAGAAAGTGGAAAGATATGAAGGAATTCAAGAATTGGCAGAGGGAAGTTCTTTGTCGGAACGTGATTACGAATTACCTGAATTAAGAACTAGTTTATCGAAGTTTGAACACGATTTAGACCAATTCCGAGCGAAGAAGGAATCGTATAGGAGTCGACTTCAACGCAATGCCGTGATTCGAGGTAGAATTTGGCGCGCTTTAGTCAAGCAGAGAACGAATGTCCAATACAACCACCACGCCGCCGATAATGATTCACTGCATAAGAGTCTAATATTTCGGCCGCTAATTAAATTGCGTGATTATATCTATCCAACTCTGGATCCGGAGCTCCTTATTGGGGAGGTTGCATTTCAACTGGAACGTCACATTCTAGCTCGCATATTCCAGGAACGACCAATTTTATATTTCTATAATCTTAGAAACATTGGAAACTTGTTACGAATCTTACCGAAATTCAAAGAAGACAAAGCCATACAATGTCGTTTTCTCAACACCATTGAGTTTCTGAAAGGATATGGATGGAATGCCACCCGCCACCCTTACGTCCTTGATGACGTAATACACATTTATGGGACTTTCCCTGATAAGGAGACGGCGTTAAGTTACACATTAAAACAAGGTACTGTATTTTTTGTATAGGCCTATTTGAAACTTTGACTCAACTTAGACGAACGTTATTTTTTCCCATTCAATGTTTTGTGTATATCCTAAATCTCGTGAATGCATTTCGAAATTTTATTGTACTGTAATTCACACTTAAAAAATATTTGCATTGCGTAACGTTTTCCTGAACGCAAGTTAATTTGTTTCATCAGAAGTTGATAACTAGGACATTTTGATGTTAAATGAGCAAATCAGTGACTTTTTTATATAGTTTTATTGACTGTTTTTGTTTTGGTCACAGGCATTGTTACCATTAGTCCAAATTTACATGCAAAGTAATGGACCTTTCTGCTAAGCCCCGCCTTTATAGCGTAAATGTACGTAAACATGTACGTGCGTTTGTGGGGCAACAATTTTATTTGTTGGACGCACGTACTCCTGGCACTATTCTGATTGGTCAGTTGTTAAGTTTGACACCCAGAAAGGTTTATGTTCCATTTTTTTTAAAATGTATTTTAGTAACATCAAAGATAATAAATAGCAGATAGAGCAGCTTCCCAGTATAGTGGAACATCCGTTCCAAGGGCATTGTGGGTACACGGAGAGCAATTTTACCCCATCCGCATGGCGGCGCTATATTGTAATAATAAAGGCACCGCTGTTTCGTTTGTTTCCTGTAGTTTCCCCACTTAGTAAAATATTCAAATTTTACCCCATTCGCGGGAGGGCGGATGTTCCATCAATTTTAATGCAAATACGCGGAACAACTCATTCTTCTGCTATTTAAGTTCTTTGGTAACATCAACTCCCTTTTTTTCTCTAAAACAGGTTGGACGAGAACGAAGGACATCCGGGATGTTGTTCTAAAAACTGTTTCTAAACCATTGATTGGCGACATTCTCGTCGTCTTGGACTGTTTTGAGAAGTTTTTGGATGAGAATGGAATATTCCGATGGTAACTGAGAAATTATGAAAGAATAATGTAAAGCATAAAATGTGAATTAAATCTATCAAGAAAATTTTAAATGTTTATATGTTTAAATTTGATGACATTTACGTCAAATAAATTGTTGTCGAAACGATTGCTTACCAGTAACTCAACTTATTATGTGGACAGTTGAAGAAACATTATCATGATCAGACTTCAAATATACAGTTTAATTGTATTTGTAAAAGAAGTTGAACAACCAATAATAATAATAATAGTCTGATACCAATATGCTATTGTTTACATAGACATGGGCTAATCTTAATTAGTACTAAAAGAGTGCTTTTTACTAATTATACTTTTAAGAAAAATCACGTGAATGAAAATATCATAGTAATGTACCGGTATGTAAAATGTACTTTAGCGGACGTTTTTAAAAACAACGAAATATTATCAAGTTCATTCATAATCAGATACTGTAAATACATAAGCAAGTACCTTTCCTTCCATAGGTGGGAATTTTAGACAAACACAGACTAGTCTTTATTAAGAGATCTTAAATTTAGCGGCTTATTCTGTAGGTTTACAGTAACAGTAGTTTCCTTTTGCTATATTTTTGTTGTCCTTGATTGAAGTTCCTCAATAACAAATAAGCTACCACATAACATGAAAAATAAAGTGACCTCAGCCTGTGGCAACACAATTCATTATATTAGTTTGATTCACCGCAATCTACAGTATCTAAATATTCTGCACATCATCTCAGGATAGATTAATGGTATGGACATACTACCACTGCCAGCTTAGAAGGTTTCAAGTTGTATTACTACCGATTCCTTAGATGCATGGCCATAATGTGCACAGCCCAAATTACTTGTCGGAGTGCAGTTGTTGTATTGTATATATCCACTGCATAGAAGAATAAGATTCTACAAAGTATGCTAGCCCTAGGTTACAAAATAATAGTGTAACCTAGGGCTGTAGTAGCACAGAATTAAATATCATTCAAGTCCATTGGAAATTGCACCGAGACAAAAGCGTCGGGACTGGCCTACTTCTTTGTTGCATGAGTTGATCTTTTTGTTATACATCCATGGTTGAATACCATGATAGAAAGTACAAGCAAGTTTCTGATTATTTTGTTATTCTTTCAACAAAAAAACCTCAATTTTTCAATCAACAAATGTTTATTATTGCCCTTTTTACATTGCTGATGAGTATCTACATATTGGCCTGTTGACGTTCTAGTAGTTGTTGAAATCGTTGAGTAACTGTAAAAGTTGTATCGATAAAACGTTCGACACAGTTACTGAGGCAGGTTTCAGTCCGTGCGTCCAGCTTAGACCCTGCCTTGTCCACACATTTGTCCCAGCACACGTCCGTAAACTGGTGGATCTGGGCCTGGAACTTTGCCTTCTGACTTTCAATGGCTAGAAATTCCTGTAATTCTGGATCAACGCCTGAGCCACTATCTAATCCACTGGCACTATCACTGCCAAATGCGTGTGAATCAAAAGACATAATATAATTTCTGTAACTTTTGTAAAATGTAAGAAACTAACAGAATATTCGAAAACAACGTGTCCGCCGACAAGAAGAATGATCTTTGACCTAGGGTATGCTTGACTGAACAGAGCAGCGGTCTTTATAACGCGCTTAGTAATGATAGGGGGCGCTATAAAAGCGGAATATTCAAATTTAGTGGCGCAAGCGCACTCTTTGTAAACAATGAGAGATTTTGTTTACTAATTCGTGGTTTTGTTTTGTTGTTCATGCAGCGTTATTTCTGTACCATAATGGACTAAAATGGACTAGAATAATTGATTACCGGTTAGTGAAGTTTAACGAAATTAAAAATAGTAGCCTATATCTGTACATAGTATGAACTTTAAGATGTGTTTTTTTAGGGTAGGCCCTAGGCCCAGCTAGAGAGATGAAAACACTTTAGCTGACGGTCTCCGACCGCTTCCCCATGCATGTTAATAGAGGCAAACTTAAGGTTCACTGTACTTAACTAGGCCTAGGCTAACCTTGCGAGTGCGTCGTGACCGCAAGTTGTTTTCCCTTTTGTGAAATGGTAGTGAGATTCATTTTTTTTGTATTCTTATTGTATTGGCATAATAATAGTCATTCCATTATCATAACACCGTTTCTAATCGATGAACTGGAACAGTGTATAAAAAAACTACTTTTCGGAATAACAATGCCCATTCAACTAAAATAAGTCATGAACAGTACTGTATTGTTTAGTAAACATTGGACCTACATGTAGCTAGCAGAAGCTAAGCCTCTAAATTTTCGAATATAATAGGTTGTTAAGTTCTATATATTAAGTTCTTTTTTTTTTTTTTTTTTTTACAAAATGAGGAACTGTCAATCTGTGTTTAAAATATAAATGTTTAATTTCCTGATCAAATTCTTTCATTCAATAATATAGTTTTGTAAATAACATTTCCATACATTGAAATCATCGTGATTTAATCAAGCAAGTGGCAAAACCACCACCAGAATTTAAAACCGTTACGGACTCAGTCAGAGGGGCGAATTAGCAATAAGCTTTAGTTAGCTTCAAGATAAAGGTAAATCAAGATAACTCATCATTTAAATTATGTGAATATAAATTGCTTTCCCTCTTAGAAGACAAACATGGCTGTCAGTAATACGTCCAAGACAACCACGAAGAAGTTGACCAGTGAGCATTATGAAAAGCAGATCCGCAACCTTGAGAAAGAGCAGGCAGCAATCTTGGGTCTAAGTTCACAACAGGTGAACCACGATGCACTACCATCCACAGCAACGTCGAACCCTGTACCCAGAGGTAGGATAAGCGATACCCTGTTACGGATGAAGAATCAAATTGGTCTCCAGGTAATTGCAATGCATAATTCCATTGTTTGTTCTATCACCATTATTTTTTTGTAATCAATAATGTATTTGTTGTAAAAAGTAAAAATCTGTAAAGAAAATTAGTATGAAGCTTGATACATTGTTTGTTCTATCACCATTACTTGACCCTTAAATTTTAATAAATAAAGTATTTGTTGTAAAAAGTCAAAATCAGTAAAGACAATTTGTGTTGTATGAAGCTTGATGCATTCTTGATTCTTGAAAATAAGCAATCTAATGTTTAGAGTACCATATTTCACTTCCAGATCCCTTTATTTTAGCCAAGTATATCTTATAAATAGAAAAGGAAGGAACAAATGTTTTAAACATATGCCTTAATTTCACAAATTTTTAGGTTTATTTTAACATCTTTTTTGCTGATATATTATTTTTTTTTCTGTTTATATATAGTACAGTATATGGAAAAATTATTGATTCCAAAGTAAAAAGTGAATGAATAATCATAAATTATTTGTATTGATTATGCAAATAAACACTCATCTAAAGTATTATCGACACTCGAATACTTAAAGCAAATCAACACAGTAAAGCCAATTGCTTGAGTGAGTGAAATTGATCGAAAGAAAAACATCAAATGTGTTTTGAATTTTTTATTTTTAAGGAGGATGCACTGAAATCATTTCAAACTGAGCTGTCAAACAAAGTTGCTGAAGTGGAACACTTAAAGATTTCATTGGACAGTCCGGTAATTTGTCCACTTATCCAATTTTATCTTGGCTTAAAATTCCAGGGTCGTGGTTTTAAATCCAGTCAGAAATGTATAATTTTTCTCATTAATAAAAAAGCTCCACTCCCTATTTCATAGTTCCATCCTTAGTATACTATATGGTGACATCACATCATGACCATTTATAGGCACATCTTGACTATATATGGGCATATATGGTTATGATGTCATCATGACTATTTGTTTCTTTTTTCTCAAAGGATACAATGGACCCATCAATTGGTGTTAGTTCACTAGCTGCTTCTGCTAAGGCACCTGATGTTGCAGAACTAAGGTTGGATCTCCTTTCATTATAAGCTTAGAAACATACAAGTCCTCTCCACGTGTTCCTCCTTCCTGATGATGAACATGTACTTAACGAAGTTGTAGACGGTGCTGATGATGGTTGTAGTGATAATGATGATGTTTTTAATGTAGATGATGTTGAATAGTGGAGCAATATAGTGGAGTTGAATAGCTTAGTGGTTAATTTGCTTGCCTTCTAATCCCAGGGTCCTGGTTCAATTCCTGTAACAGCAGGACTTCTTGTCACAACCAAAAACAATTCCACTACCTAAGCCTCATAAAGAGATGTATAAAACATCATTCCATCCTGTAAATGGCGAGTGTACTTGTTTTTGGACGTGGAAGAAATAAAAAAATAAGAAATGATGGTAGTGGCAGGAACATCTTGATGGGGAACAATATTGTTAAAACATATGATATATAATTTATATTTCTTAATAAAAATTAGTTCTACTTTTCACTGCAGACTTGCACTTGAGCAAAAAATAAGAGAGAATGAGCTACTACAGAGCAGATTGGATGTAAGCAAGGCCGCCATCACCAGCGCATTCCCAAGCTCAGGCTACAGCACGGGAAGGACCAACTTTAATATTCCAAAGGACGGAACTTCAAGCCTAGGTCATGTGAGGTCAAGGTCCCTGTCATCATTCCCAATCACCCACAGTGCCATTCTACCTCATTTAACACATCAACAGTCTCAAGAAAAGGAGTAAGTGTTGAAAACTTTGAATTTTATACTGAGGACAGTATGTAAGAAAGAAATATGGAGCACATTAATTAGCCTTATATTGAAAATATCACAAAGATTTTATAATATAATTTGCAAGTAAGTCTCTGTAATATTGCGAATAAAATAATACAAAATTATAAATTATGTCAAAAACTACTCTGTAAACAATCCTGCTTTTTTTTGTGTGTGTACTGCATTTATTAACATGCATATGGGTCATTTTGAATTAAGGACCAACAGATAAAATGTTTCTTCAAAAAAGCCTTCAAGACTCCAAAAAATGTTATAGTCTGTATTTAACAGAGAGAGCTTTGGTGGAATAGAACCAAAGATCTCCATGCACACACATTGGTTACAACCAGTTTTAACCAGCTGTGCTATGCTCTTCTCTTAAAAAATAATATATTCATATAACATTTTAATGTGTTTTCATCACCAGGTCGCTGGAGAAAAGGTTACACCATTCCCAGTTGCATATTGATCATCTCAACGACAAACTTAAAGAGGTAGGCTTCAGGCCCGGCTTCAGGTTATATATAGCGGATACAATTTTCCATCTCCTTTAGTATATTGTGCTTGCACAGATAAACTCTTTGCTGTGGAAGTGAAATTCCTTTGTAAATCGGAATGTGTTAAAGTTCACTTCATTTGACAGCAGGGGTTTAGCCGGAAAAATGATATAGGCTGTCCAAAATGGAAGCCAGTGGGCGTGGCACTGAGCCGATGTGCGGGCCACTCCCATGGGAATCCCTACCGAATATTGGTCTGAAAACGATGTACATTTAATCAATAAATGTGTTTTTATCAAACGTAAATGTGATATTTAATTTAGCTTTAGTTTAATGTAACATTCGATAGATTTGAAGAATATAAAGAATTTGCTAAAGTTAGACCAGGCCCAATTACTGTAGGCTAGGCTAATCTGATTAGGCCAAGCCGTCCAAGCCGTCACGGTAAAAGTGGCCCTCCTAAATAATTGTAGGCCGTCTTTTGGACGGCCGGACGGCTCGCTGGATAAGCCTATGTTTAACAGGCACACCAAGCACAGTGTGTTGACAGATGGCCAATGGCTGGTAGCACCCTGTCCGATAAGAGTAATTTTTTACCTACTGTAGTTGTGCAGTATACCCATGCTCCTATAAAGAGCATATATTTCACACTAATATTACTGGAGTATTTATACACTTACCCCTGTCAATGTTGAGTACAATGTAGGTAGAAACCTTGTGCAATAAAAAACGCTTAACATTATATTTTCAAACGACATATGATGATTGTAATTTTAAAACATCCAGTTAATGGTCAATATTTTCATTTCACTATTTATAAAATTATTATTTTGATATAATAATAATTTAGTATTCATGAAGTATTATTTTTTTTAATTATTATTAGTGTGCTGAGGTGTGTGAACAACAGAAGACTGAGTTCCGACAAGCTGTGGAGGACCTACAGACTAAACTAACAGAGACTATCGTAGGGAGGGACTCAGTCCTGGAAATGAGGTTAGTTTTAGACGGTGGCCTTAAACACTTTGGCTTCATTGTTAACTACATTAAAGGTTATTCATCACTTTGTTCAATTATAACAGTAATAATAATAATAATGATGATAATAATAATAATAATAATAATAATTATAATAATAATAATAATAATACCAGTAATAATAATATTTTTTTAAATATTTTTATATCTTGTGATATTATATTCAAAATATTTCTGCAGTTTTCACCTGTAAGTAGGAACAAAACGTTCCTGCTGGACGATTGTTTGAAATAAAGTAAAATAAAAATATAAAATAAATATGGTATTGGTCAATATATCATATTGATCTTTGTCTTTATAGTTTTGGATTATTGTTGGAGTAAATAATTTTTAACTACTTTATTGAATTATAATCATTCATATGTATTATATTGGTATACTAATTAATAATTAGTATAGTAATACTATAGTTAGTAGCCCTATACTATAATTAGTAGCCCTATTATAGGGCACTACATTAAAAACCTTTATATTATAATTATTTATTAATATTTAAAATCTAGTTATGAATAAATATTCATTACAGTTTTTAATAAATGTGATGAATAAGTATCTATTGCTTTGTAATTAATGAATATTTATTACTTGTATTAATGAATATTCATCACTCTCTAATCTAGGAGAAAAGAGGCCAATGAACAGGAGAAGTTGATCAACAAGCTTCAGGAAGCATTGAAAGAAGTGGAGAAGGATGCTAAGAGTAATGAAGAGGTTGTTCTGTTTTTCCACAACTATTAAAATATTGAAAAAACTTCACACCCATCCTAAATATCTGATCCTATTCTCTGATGAAGCTCTCTTTTAAAACCTCAGTTCTCTGTACCTAAGCCTTTTTTTAGGCCTATTGATCTTCCTGCAAAGCTGATCCTATGAGAGGGTCAGTGCTCTAAAATTAGCCTTTTTTGAGGCCTAGGGTCTAGAGATTTGTTTTGGCTATAACCAAGCCTGATCCTCCTTGCAATTGCTAATCCTTTGCAAGGGTCCATGCCTTATAATTCAGCTTTTATGAGGCCTTAGGGTGTGGAGATTTGTTTTGGCTATAACCAAGCCTGATCCTCCTTGCAAAGTCAATCCTCTGAGAGGGCCAATGCCCTATAATTCAGCTTTTATGAGGCCTAGGTTGTGGAGATTTTTTTGGCTATGTAAAAAGTCTTTACTAAGATTGAGCCAAGATTTTGAAAAAGGGAGGTGGGCACTTAACCGCAAAAACCACACTCAACTTGCTCAGACACAGATAAATGAGTCTACATTATTTTTTTATCTACTGTAACTTGATATTTACTAATGTATTGCTAGGCCCGACGTGAAACAGCTTCTAAGCTTGAGGTTTTCCAAAGTAGCCTATCAACAGCAAATGCTGTCCTGAGCCAAATACACCAACAAGCACAAACAGAAGAGGAACGCAGGGGTAAAGAACTACTTTCAAAAGATGCCAGAAAAGGACAGGATATCTGTAGGATTTCCGACATGCTGCAAACACTATTTGAAGACTCCAAAACAGAGATCAGCAAGTTACGAGAAAAATTACTTGAGGAAACATCAAAATTTAACACCGAAAAGGAAAGTTATGAAACACAACTGAAAAATATGCAAACAGAATCCAGAAACAAGTAGGTTATTTTTCTTTTCTTCACTTATAAATAATTGTGTAGATGTCTCTAGGCCTGTTATTTACTCTTTTTTCTAGGTCTATTTTTTTATGATGCAATGGTGAACAATAGCCTGAGGTCAAAAATTGAAGAAGTTATTACTATTACTTTGAACTAAACCATGGACCAAAGAATATGAAGATGCCAACTGAAATATGCTGCTTTTTAAAAATAATTATAATTTATTCACATAGTAGACAATACATAGCTCTTGTTTTTAAATTATAACAAATATAAATAATTGTTTTGTCTTCCTATAGAGTCACTCAGTTGTCAGCAGATCATGAACAACAGATGAATGCTGCCACCGAGAGGGCAATGAATTCAAGAAAACAGTCTCTTAGTCTCCAGTCGCAGCTGACACAGTTACAGTAAGTATAATTACATTATTGTGCTTTTTATCATTGAAATTAATATATATATTATTTGTTTCTTTATTTAACTTCTTTTGGATAGTTTGTTGATAGTGTATAGGGACCTAGTATTATTCGCTTTACAAGTATACATCCATAACCATTATTAATATTTTTCTCATTCCGTTTTTCTAATCTATCTAATCTAATCTGATAATGAATGATCATTATATGTACAAAATGCGGCATGATGATCTTTTCACAGAGAACTGATGCAAGACAAATTGGACCAAAAGGAGGAAGTTGTGAAGAGCTTGGAACAGCAGTTACAACAGGTCAAGCAGACTGACCAAGAGATGTTGACCAATTGGTCTCAGAGGGTATGTTGGAAACAACTGAATGAATTGTGCAAATGAATCTTTTCGCTATATTCCTGGCCCAGTTCTGATTGGTCAGTTGTTAAGTTTGATTGACACTCCAGAAATATCCATTGTAGATTCTGTATTTATTATTTAATGTATATATTATTATTATAGGTTAAGTGTTGAGCATTTGGAAGGAATGAAAGTTATTCACATACATCTCATCTAAAGAATAAATATAATTTAATCAAATTATTCATTTAATGTCCACATTCTCAAATTTTATGTGAAAAATAAGTGTGCCTATGTAATTCGCATATATTGGCACATCACAAATTTGCTACACAAAATTTGATAGAAACCATTATTTTTAAACATACACTCTTCAATTTTAATACATTATCAGCCCAATTTCTCTAGCCAATGTTCGATTGAAAGGTTAGTCAACCAGATTCTCTTCTATTTGACATGAATAAATTCATCATGAATAAATTTATCAAGTGAAAAACAATCTTTAGGGAGTCTGAGTTGTCTGTAGCCCTCAAATCTGTAAGATTTGAACCCAGGCCCTGGGTTTGAAAGCCAAGAAGCTTCTCGAATACCATAGCTCCAATCCTTTAACAGCTGAATTCACTTTTTACAATGTTATTCAGAATAATTATCTGAGCAGTGAGGCTGAACGATACCGAACACAAGTGCAAAGCCTAGAGGCTGAGCGTACCAGTCTGAACACAAAGGTAGAAGAACTCTCAGAACAAATTGACAAACAAAAGGTAACAAAGATTTTTCTTACATGAAGAAAACAAACAAATCAGGATTTACTCGTAGAATTCTAATATTATGATCAGCTAGCAGATTGCAGTACGGTATGAACCAGGAAACAGTGAAATTTCACTGTTCCCTGGGTATGAACAATATTTTACTAACATGAATACCCTGAATTAGTGCTCAAAAGTTATGTTATGGTGGTACAAACACCTGCTGGGTAGATATTGGTACACAGCAATGTTGCTGTGATTATTATAATTATTTTTATTTTTACTATTGCATTCTTAAATTCAGAACTGTATTATTATTGTTCTATTTGTTGTTGCTGATTGTTGTTGTTGTTGTTACAGCTACACTAGCAGAAACTAGAGAAAGCATACATAACTCAAAATTACATTTGGAACTTTTTAATTAAATAAAAAAATGTTGACCAGAAAAGACATAGTCAAAACGAATGGAGATAATACATTTTAAATAGTCCAGAACACCCTTGTTTTTCTACTCAGGATTCCCTGTACAGGGCTGAGGAAGAGATCTCCTCAGGTAGAGAACAAAACAACAGATTGTGGAAGATGCAAGATGAAAGCAGCAAACAATGCGAAGAGCTGCAGGCGCAACTGGAAAACAAACTGATAGAAATCGCTGATCTGCATCGAAGTATGGCGAGTTTGCGAGAGGAGTCCAAGAAAGAGCTAACAGAAAGGGTTTGTTATAAACTTTTTTAATCGATACCTTGTTCAGTTCAAACATTCTCAACCATTTTTGGTCCATGCCTCTATTATTTTCTTATATTTTTCATCTTATTTCTGCGAAGCCCACTATTTGAAGGTTTTAATACTTGTTGGTTACTCACTTGTTCTTACTTTATGGTATTTAAGCCTCCATTTCATTATGTTACATTTCATCATCATCTTCCGTTACTGTGCATAACCTCGGTTGATTATACTCGCACAATGTGTTTGTACATTACTCATATATGTCGGGGTCCAAAGGGAAAAAAAAATAAATATATAAATATGAAAAAATTGAAAAATAAATTAATTGATAAAAATGAAATATAAATCAATAAATAAACACACAATGGTGAATCATTACATATTGGGACAGCACAGTTGTCTCCTGAGGCCTTCCTTACACAGGTGTTCCCATGACGACAGGGCAGTATGCTGGTGTCCAGTTGTGTCCGCCAGGAGCCAGTTCCTCGGCTCTGCAACCGTCCATTGCATGTCAATTTTTTTATTATTTTGTAACATATTTTGTTAGGCCTATATTTACTCACTTCATACCATGTGTTGAACAAGTGAAATAAGTTTAATTGAATTGAAAAATAATGGGCATGGTTCGAGACTACGTAGCCGATGTAAAAAGGCACTTATAGCAGCTATACGTTCGCATCATTCCACAATGACAGAGGCTGGAAATGATGAATATATTTATGCATGAAAGACCATTATATTTTGGATTTATGTTTAAGCAATTGTGTTTGTTTTTTAAAGGTGAATTATGTAGAGAAAGAATTACAGCAATCAGCAAAAGACCAGGCTAATGATTTAAACTCCCAGTGTGAAAACTTCAAACAAATGTACCAGAGGGAAGTTGAGGAAAGAGAGCGACAGAAGGCTATGCTAGACAGACTACAGGTGCATAAGGCTAGGCTAGAGGAAAGCCTGGTGGAGGCACAAAAAGAGCTCCACAAGTGTAACACTGAAAGCCAAGAGTTTAGACGCGGCATAGAAGCAAAGGAGCGAAATTTTGAGGTTCTGAAACAAGAAAGAGAACATTATTTTACTCTATTAGAAGAAAGGAATGAAGAATTAAATGAAATGAAAGCAAAGAATGATCAGTTACTGATAAAGGTTAACGAAGGAGAGAAGCATTTTGAAGCTTTTCGTAAACAGAACACAAACATGTCGCAATGGGTCCTGATGAATAACCAAACAACTAATGTTGTAAAAGAAGAGAGGGAGAAACTGATGAAATTGTTAGAGGAAAAGACTTTCCATATTCAGGAGATGAAATCGGCAAAGGGTGATTTTAAAAAGAGGTTAAAGGAGAGTGAGAAGAAACTTGTTCTACTGAACAATGAGAATGAAGATTTGAAGTTATCTTTAGAGGAGAGGGTAAAGGAAGTAGAAGATGCAACCAAAGAGAAGGAAAAAATGTTTATAGAGTTAAAGGAATCACGATATGAGGTAAGATTCAGTGGGTTCAGACCCCCCCCCCCCTCTCTTGAAATTAAATAGTTACAAATATTCGTTGATTAAAGGGCCTAGATCTAGGCTAGTTTGAAGTCATTAAAAAATTTTGGACCATATAATAATGCAAAACTTTTTTTGGAGGAATGGCTAGCGGATTCCCCCTCTCCCCTTATACATCTGGCTGCAATTTAAAAAAAAGAATCCCCTATTCCAAAACTTTCATCCACCCCAGAAATGAGTCCAGTGATAATTAGTGTGCAGTGAAAGTCTGCATTTAGCTAAACTTGAACCTTAAATCTCAATATTAAAACTACATTTTGTTGACTATACTGTAATGATACAAATTGATATATTTTTTTTTTAAAAGATTGCTTCGTTGACAGAGGACTGTGATCAACTGAAATCAGAATTTAAACTCTTAAACAAAAGAGTTAACCAAGACAAGCAGCGATATAAGTCAAAGGTCACTGCTTTAGATAACGAACTCACTGCTGCACATAGCGCCCTCACAGCTAGCAAGTCCATGGATGCAAAAGGTTTGTAGAATTTTTACATCATTTCTAAGATATGTGAGCCATGCTGCGCACATTACCGAATCAGGGAGAACAGAAACAGTGCCATAGCAATTTCTATTGTATGCTAGTACTTGTCATCGCCTGTTCAGCATCTAGACGAGTGGTGCGTCAGTCGACGGTGCGTCACCATGTCTCATTTCCACAGTTCAGCGAGCATCTACCAGTTACCACTATTTAATAAGCAATTGCTCTATGCTGATCTTTATATTGAAGCAATTGAATTGGACCAAGTCAGTCTTTAGTCTCATTGCATCATTTGATATTATTTTTTTTTTACAGCAATGCAAGTTACTGAGAGTATGCAGAAAGAGATGGCTTCAAAGAGATCTCAGATAGACACACTGCTAAACAAGGTTCACTGGCTTGAAGAAAGCCTTGAGTCAGCGCAGAGGGTAACTAATCTCCTCTTTGTCTGGTGAATTCTAAAAATATATTCATATCTGTTTAATACATTGCAAAATAGAAATAATATATAGTAATGCTTGCGGTACACAACGTGGATATATGTACGTGGTATATTGCAAGCTTCTATCATTCTCTATCATTACTTAGCCATGCAAACCTTCAAACAAAATAGAAATAGACAGCCTAAGATTATTAGTAACAACCTTTCTAGGCCATTTTTTATAACAAAGGTGTCATAGGAGTGATGTTTTTGCCCAGCCTAACTGAATGTTATCGTACTGAATACCCAGTACATTCCCAAATACTTGTGATAAAAATTTACAAGTGATTCAGGTTGGGATCAAACTCATGACCTCCGGATAACTAGCCTGGTGTCATACCCACTAGACCACAAAGTTTGCGCTTAGTGATTAGTGTTGAATCCAATCCAATCCAGCAGGTACTGCAATGCTATAATGAACGTGTGTTGTCCAGCAAATCGAGTCTCTGATGAGATTTGGAGAGTAAAGAACTAATCATTCGTGACCCTTAACAAACCATTAAACCACAAAATATACTTTCAAACTAACAACTGATTGTCATGGTATTCAAAATGTATTGTTTTTTGGAATTTTTTTTTCATGATTTGCAGGATAACAATTCACTGGAGAGCACAAAAGAAAAGTACCACTTGCGACTTTCCAGGCTTGCAGAAGAGTTGGAGAAGCTTAGTCTAGAGCTGGAAGATACCAGGCAACAGAACACCAAACAAGCAGCCTACGTCACCAAACTAGAGCTAGCATTAGACAAGGTATATATTAATGGTCCAGTGCACATGCAATGCCTACCACTATTTTAGAGTTCTGAAGCCTGATTGAATTTGATATCCTAAAATTATGCTGTTTAATTTAATCAATCAATTTTGTTTTGATGTGATTCTTAGACTGCCTCCCTACATGCGGATGTGAAGGCAGCAGCAGAGAGCCAGGAACAAGAGATGACGAGGACTAAACTGAGGTATAGCCTAGAAATAAAGGTACGCATACAAAATCCGACACAGGCCCACAACCAAGATTGCCTAAGGGGATTATCTATGAGAACCAGGGTGGTTATTGTCAATTTAGTAAGCCAGCTTGTAGTTTGAACTTTGCATGCCTGTGTTGAAGGTCAATCAACGTAAACCTTTAACAACACACACATATGCTGTGTATATCAATTGACCTTTTTGATACGGACTTGCGCAAATCACACTACGAAGGAGTGTATTTGGTAATTGTGTGTTTCATGTAAATTGAAGAGCGTAATTTAATCCATGATGATAAGATTTAAATTAAACAAAAATTTTAAAAATAGATGGATAGAAAACATTAAAATAAAAAGTTTTAATTCTAAGATTTAGACTGCCCAACTGAGCTTAATCTGATAAGGATGAATCAGATTAATATCTCTTTAAATTTCAATTTAAATTTGAACGTTAAATTTGCGTTATTAAAAATATGTATACATATATAAAAAGCAGACATAGGCTATAAAACATTGAAGAATCAATCAATCAATCAGCAAATAAAAAATATAACAATTACAAGGGTTTGAGTAAAAAAGGCAAAAACATACAACCATCAAAATATGAAAGGGAATTACAAAGAAACCGAATAGTCATCCTAAAAGCTCAGGATCTAAAAATACAAAAATGATTTACATTGAAAAAAAACATTATTAAAGTAATCTATTTTACTAAATTTATTGTTATATAAATTATTTAGTTTGTTTATGATACCACACTGATTATCTGCTTGAATTATTACTTATTTCTTTATCATGCAAAATAACGATTTTAATTCTGGTTTTAGGAGCTACAACAGGCTCTTGAAACTGCTCTTAAGTCAAACAACACTCTCAGACAATCTCCAAAGAAGACTGCAGTGAAGGAGGCCACCACTAAACCAACATTGAAATCGAAAACTACTAGAACAGAATTGTCAAAGCCATCATTAAGGAAAACGGGAAAGAAACAATTGAAAACAGCAGAAAGTGTGGACATTTCTACGAACAAGGAGAAAAGGGTACAGAGAATGCCAAAGAAAGAATGTTAAAATATAAATAATAATAAATCTCATTAGAGATTTGAGAGTTTATATTTCAAAATTACAAACGTTTTATAAACTTTTAACAGATTATATTATTTTAATGATTTTTTTTTAAATCAGAAACCTGAAGGTGAAATGAACAGTGAGCTGCGAGACCTTCTAAAAGAAATGAAAGCAATGATTTCGACTGGGATTGGGCACCAGACAAGAGACCCGATTAACACCAACCACAGCAACTCACAACAAAATACCAGGTACTCTACTTTAAACCGTTTCTGTGGTGTATTTAAGGGGAACCCCTTCAAAAATTTGATACTGCACATTGTATTTGTAATTTAGTGGGTTCAGTAATTTTTGGATCTGGTTCCACAAGGCCCCAATAAGGAGCAGATCTAGGTGGTTGGCAGGTGGGTGGTGGTGGGCGGAATTTGATCTTGGTTTAAATATGTTTTCTTGAAGCGATGATAGCTGTATGAATACTAAATGAATCAGTAATTAATAGAAAATTTGACTATGAAAGGAAGATATTTTTTATTTTTCAGTCATCCTTCAAATATGGATGTCCTAATGCGTTCATACGACAACCAATCAAATTCAAGAAGTTTACAGACTGGCAAACACTGGTCCCAAAATGAACCCACACTTCATTCAGCCACACCACCTGAGAGACTAACAGGTATTTATGTTATTTATAGAGCATTTTCAGAAGAAATACTGTACTTTGTTTCAATACAAGTGGTATCAGCATGGATGTTTGTCTTAAATTTGTTCAAGCTGAAGTCACACGATCAGTTTTTGTCTTCAAATATCCATCTAGGGTGAAAAAGATTAGTGGGGTGTACCGGGTTTGAGTCTGTGATTTTACTGCGACCCTTGCTTTAACCATGGTCCCCTTGGGTGGGTACCCAAAAAGTACTAAAAGTATAGAACATGTTCTATTTAATTCAATTGACATCTGGAAATCATCAGCCATTCAACAGCCAATCACAATGCAGAACGTATAGACCTTTGGGAAATGGCAGGGTCCTGCATAGGAATAGATCCTGTATCAGTAGACCTTTATTTAGGTTGTCCCTAAAATTCCTATGAGTTAACAAGTTATTTATCAAACAATTTAATACTGTGGAATATCAAGTGTCTACATACGCCTGTCAAAGTGAAAGACTGAACCAAAATTTTGAATATATTTGACCATGTGACTCAAGCTTTGACCATCTGTCTATCATCGACAGAATTGTAACACGTTTGAAAACTACAAGTTACAAGGTTGTTTACATGTTTCATAATACTTAAAGCTGAGAAGTTGGTTGCTAGCCAATTTTTGTGTGTGCGTGTTCAATTGTGCTATATACTTTTTTTTGATAGCAATTGCTCCTCATTAGTTTAATTAAAATAAATACAGTAAACTGAATAAATATACAATTCCCAAACTAATTATTTACAAACACAAAATGCCCATTTTAGATTTTGAGACTTTGGGTTTTCTGGGAACATATCTAATATTATCATATACACACACTTTCAAAGATAATTTCTATATGATTTCCTTTTAGATTTTGAGTTTCCATTGCATTCATCTTCGCCGGTCCATTCTATGGGCCTAAGCCATGAGACAACCAATAATCATCAAGCACTGCCCGAAACCAGCCCTCTGTCCCCTGTTGAAAAGTTACTTCTTCACCAGCCTAAGCCAGTACTTCACCAGCCTAAGGAGCATCTTGTAGAGCATCAGGCATTGCAGACTAGGCCGGAAAAAAGTAGGACTCAACAAAAGTATAATGGATACCCTAGCAAGGCATACTGGGACAGTGATCCTACATCATCAAGTATAACAAGCTCTGATACAGGTACTGTAGGTTCTATGAGTAGTTTTTAACATTTTGAAGGATCCATTCTATAATAGTGATAATATATTAGTTTTTATAGCACAACCAAAGCCTATCATGCCACACTTAGAAGCACATTATTATGCCAGACATTGGTTGAAATACCTATGACACATACTGCATTCTATAATAGCGATAATAATATATTGTTTTTTATATAGCACATACAAAAAGCCTATCACGCCAAAGCCTATAAGCACATTATTGCACCAGTACCAGTACAGACATTGGTTCAAAGAACTATGACACATACTCTGTATCCTAGAAGAATATTCCACAATATTATAGCTAGTTATCTGTGCTTTGACATTTGAATCTAGCAGGTACCCACTTATACTTTTGGGTGGACAAACAAAAAAATGGATAAAGTGCCTAGACCAAGAAGAACAAGGGACCTTTCTAGAACATAATTAAGAAAAGGACCAGGAATATATCCATGTCCCACAAACAGATGTTAAAGATGTACCGAAAAAATCATAAAAAATCATTTTTGAACTTGTCCATTTTGAAGTGACACAAAAAATTATCAACTTGAACATAGAAATTAGTTTATTAAAAAATACGTTACCCATAATTTTACAGCAAATATGATAGAAAACACTGCATTTCATTATTTTTATTTTAAATATCCAGTATAAAAATTAGGGTACACATTTTTTAAATTCAATAATTTCTATGCTATAGATAATTTGTATGTTAGTGCAAAATGAGAAAGTTAATTTAAAAATTGACACTTTTTGTAATTTTAAAGGGACAATACATCTTTAATGTACGTTTACGCTGTCATTTTGTGGGACTTTAGCAATAGTACTTTTTCCCACATTCACAAAGCATAATTGGCCTTGTATCAGACTTTTCATTTCAATACAATTTCGTTTTAATAAAATATTGTTATGATAAAATAAGTTATTGTCATAGTTTTGGTTTCTTGTTTTCATTATACATTATATATGTACACTTCTTCACTGCAGAAATGGCACTCTTAGACCTAAATGTGAATATAATTTTCTTTTTACTATTTTAAAAAATAAGTTATAAAAAAAATGATAATAATAATTTAACAGGGGTGGGCCAGCTGGGACCCCTTGAACCTGTCACTGGATTTATTGTTTACTATTTGTTATTTATTATTGTCATTGCAGATATCGCAGCTACTAATCAACAGCATTCATTGAAAAGACTAGAGGACAAGCTTAAAAGTTTATCAAAAATTGGTGGAAATTTAAAACAGGAAAATAAAGGTATAGAATATCAAGTTAAAATTACAATAAAAAGTGTTTATATGTATTAAGTTCCAACAATCATGTATAATATATAAATTATTATATAAATTTATTATTAATACCAATAATTTATCAATCTATGAATTCTAATAATAATACATGATGATGATAGTTATGATGGAGATGATAATGGTGATGATGAAGATCATGATGATGATGAAGATGATGAAGGTCATGATGATGATGATGATGATAATGATGGTGAAGATGATGATGATGAAGATGTGATGATGATCATGATCATGATCATGATGAAGATCATGATGATGATGATGAAGATCATGATGATGGTGATGATGAAAATCATGATGATGATGATGATAATGATGATGAAGTTCATGATGATGGTCATGATCATGATCGTCATCGTCATTTCATACCCCAGAAGTCTGCTTCTTTGAGGGGTGCCCCATGCAGTGATCAAATTGTTCATCGAGAACTTTTCCTAACATTTGTCAATCCTGCATTACTGATAGAACTTGTGATTTTTCCATATCATCTACTATCATTTTTCCAATTTTTGGCCAAATATCACAAGAACTTTGTATTTCTGATTCCATAAACAACATTTGTTTCTGCCACTTGCCATTCTTGTAACATAATAATAAAATAATAATAACAGTTTTATTTATTCACGGAATCTCATTTCAGTCTTTTACAAAGATTGGTCTTCCAAGAGGCCATGTCCTTAAACTACTACAGCAAACAAAAATTTAAAAGCAAAAGAAAAAAGTACATACTGGTAACTGTAAAGTTTATCTACAACAAATACATGTGCAGTGTACAGTATTTCATAATCTGTTTGTCAACAAAATCAGAAATTGGTGTTGATCTAGTGATTCTGTAGAGTTGTTCATTTTTTATTTTGTACGTTTTTTTGTGTTTTCTTTCCAAGCTTTTACCATATCTGGTGAAATGATGACAATGATGATTGTTATATTACAATAATAATGTCATTTTAAAAGGTACAAATATCCATCTCAGAAATTTGGCTCACAATGCTATTTTCCACTCTTCTTCATTTTTCTTTAATTCATTCATTCATTTTATTTATTATTAATGGATGGAAATTTGATCCAACTTATTTTAAAAATTTAATTCTATAAATTTCACCCACTGATTATAAATAATTGCTTGTTAATTTATATTAATTGATTATCATCTATTAATTATCATGTATTGCTTATTATGAATTACCATGATCCTTCAAGTTACCGATAAACGGAAGTTTTTCTTTTTATTTCGCAACAGCAATGGCATCACTAATTCAAAACCAAGGTGTGAAACTGAAGCAATGCCGCCAACAAGAACAACAACTCAAAGCACCAAAGAAATCGAGGAAGCAGACACGATGATTATTATGAAAAGGGCATAAGTCAGACACAAGTCTAGTCTCATATCATTTGGACTCTATGATTATACAGATATACTTTTATTTTATTTTATTTATTTATTTAGGCACACAACACATGGACTAAGGATTGTCAGTAGCGAATGTATTATCACTGTCTTACTTGTAGGTGAAAAACCCTTGCACAAGTCAAACATACACACACGATGCTTTACACAAACTAAATCTGAGTATGAGGTTTCAAGGGAGTGGATTTGTTTTTGGTCCTGAAAAAAAATACTTCAACAATGACAGGAATTGAACCCAGGACCCTGGGATTGAAAGACAAGCATCTTAACAACCAAGCTATTCAACTCAACTCCCTTTCTGTTGGAAAATGCTCCAAAATTATACAGTAGTAAGACTTCCAAATGAAGAAACACAAATCAAAAGAATTCAGTTTTCACTGATTTACTGACTTTTTACTACAAACATTCATTAATCTATTACAGTACATTTATTCTAAGCAAAGAATGTTAAAGCTCTTTCCACATGATCAAACTGTTGTATGCCCATGTATAGTCATTATGTGCCTATATATGTTCTTGATGTGATGTCATCATGACCATATTTAGGCATATCACATTTTTTACCAAATAACATTTTTGTACAGGGCTTTAGGATTACTATTATGAATGTATGTATTTTTAGACCATTCTGCTAAGCTCTGCATTGGGATATAGTTGCTAAGGTCAACAAATTGACAGCATAAACATACAATATACAATACTTAAGTTAATTATATTTATGTTTATAATTTCTCAATTAAAACAGCTGTAATAAATAATTAATTAACTCATAATTTTTATTAATATTGATTTTATTTGCATTTATGCTTAGTTAAATATATGAGATATTAAACATAGAAACACATTCTTAAGTGATACATATTAAAGGTAAATGTATTTAGAGAAAAAATGTATTCAATACCATAAGAAAAACATGCACTAATTTAAAAAAAAAAAAAAAATTCAGCAGTGCAATACAAAAGTAATCGGACAGAGAGTTTGGGATTAAATCCTGATGATACAAAATTTTTCTCAAAAATTATTGTAAGTATACAAAGTAAGCAATTGCCGCAGAAATGTATAAGTACTAAACTAAGAAAGTATTCCATATCATTAAAACACAATAATCTTCCTAATCTTGTCTAAAGGTGGTGTATATCAAGGGTGGTGCCAGCGGAGGCTGGTGGGGGGTGGGGAGAAGAGAGAAAATAACATATTAGTAGACCTCAAAACCGATTAAATAAGCCTTATTTAATCGGTTTGATTGTCATATTTTTTAGGGGCTTCTCCCCCAGGAACACTTTTGAGAGATTTTGAGCGAGCACGAACACGCCCACTTTTTTTCATCAGGAACATACTGTAGGGCCCCCACCGTCGGAGATCCTGGACCACCATCCCCCGTCGGGCGAATCGATGCGCCACCACTGGTGTATATATATATATATATATTAAATTACTTTTACATGTTATGCAACAAACCTGTTTATATTCATCTAATTTTTAATTTGTACACATACGGTATACATGTTATAAATATTATTTTTCTCAGTTACTTGAATTTCGTATAACATAGCTTATTTATTTATATTTTAGTATAGTTGGTGAGAAAAGTAATAACATAGTGGTATGCAAAGTTAGCACTTAATAACAGATGCTTCATATATGTCTAAATTTTTACAGTATAAATAAAAAATGTTGATTTTGTAAATTTTAATACAGTAGCGTAAAACTGGAATATCTCTGTGGCACAATCCATAGAAAATAGTTTTTATTAAGGAATAAAAATTATTTGTTCAAAGTTTATAAACCTCTAATTCATTTTACTCAGTTGCAACCTTAAACAAACTTACGAATATGTAAAAAATACCGTCGGCCGACGACGTTAGCCTCCTTTTACAATACACAACTTCACCTCTCCTTCACTAGTTTACAAAATGTTTGTTTTATTTATTTACTCTAAGATTATTAATTGCTTTTCCATCATATTTCATTGCTATAGTTGTTTATTGCTAATTGCTAGTTCTTGAGTAGGTAGTAGCTATTATGACAAGTAGCTTATATTGAACACCCCCCCCCCCCAAAAAAAAGTTCTCTTCCCAGTCGCGCCGTTGAAAGTGTCCGAAGCAAAAAATCACGCTCAAGTTGTTAAAAATCACCTAATTTTAGCGCCCCCTCACTTAATTATCGAGCCATCCACCTCCCCCCACTTCCCAATTTCAAGACTCCTAGATACTCCACTAAATACCAATTTCCTGTTACAAAATGTTGATATGTTCTGGTAATCTGGTTAACTGATGTGATTGCTTTGCTGTCTTTAGTCCTTTTCCAAAACATGATATAGTGGCCTTTGATCCTCTAAATCTAGAAAGTGATGGTCTGGAATTACATTATGATTATGTTGTATTGGATCCTTCACAACCTGATATAGATGATGTTGCTCTGCATCTGGAGATCTCTGCTCAACATTTACATCATGTTGATGATTACGTTGTCTTGGATTCAGCTCAACTTGGTATACATGCCATTGATTATCTGTATCAGGTGATCCATGCTCTGGATTCTGCTCTATTTCATACAGATTAACTTTATACTCTGCGTCTGGACATCTCGGTCCAGGATTCACATCGTGTTGGTGATTACGTTGTCTTAGGTTCTGCTCAACTTGAAATAGTTGTCCTTGATCCTCTATTACTTGGAATTCCTGCTCTGGATTTACGTCTGTGTCAGTGATTGCTCGATATAGGTATTCTAGATCCACTTCGTCTGTTGGAGAGTCTTGTCCCTGTTCTTGAGTATCTGGAAACCGATGAAGTTCATGTGAATACCTCTGTTCTTGTTCGTGTTCGTCAGTAAGTCGCCGCGAGGAATCTCGTGCGTGATAGCTATTGTAGATATTTTCTGGTACAGACTCATCAATAAATCCTTGTAATCTAGTGAGTTGTATGTTCTCAACGTCAGTGTTCGTACGCTTTCTGGGACAGGTTACAAGAAGAACAATCACGATGATGATAAAAATATTTGTTGGTAACAAAAGCCAAAGTATTAACAGCTCCCGTCGGAATGACCGGTCCGAAGGCTGTTCAGCCACATTAATGCTTGTATTAGCAGTTGCATAAAAATTGTATTTATTAGAAACGTTACAGATGATGTGCTGCCGGTCATTTTCAGGGCGAATATTGTCGATACAGTACTGATTTGAACCTGTAGGCCCAGGTATATCATTATTTTTATAATCACTTCTTGACCACGAGTAGTCAATACCCAGAAGACTGCATGCAGTAACGATACAGACGAAGCACGCCCGGTCACCAGGATAGAAAGGTGTACGGCTAAGTGGAAGAACTTGAACGGATGTTGTTGGGAAAACGTGGATGATATTTGTAATACATTTTCTTTCTAGATCCATCCCTCTTGTAATTAATTTTGTTTCACAAATGAAATACACAAAGTCATCATCACTAGTGATGGTGTAGACGTAACTTAATATAATTTTTGAAAATTCCTGTCGGTCTCTTGTTTCTAGATGACGTTGTTTGTTATCATACATTGACAAGCTTAGGTTAGATGATGGGAGCCCTGTTTCTGAAACACACGTCACATTTAATGAATCACCAACTGCTGCGAACACGGGCATTTCACTGCAGTTTGGGTTTGTTAGCTGTAGGCCTAATGGAACAACTTCCAGCTTTGTATTGCGTGTGATATTTGTTTCTGCTACATAACACTTGTAAACCCCAGCGTCAACTTGACCAACATGAGCTATTGACAGCGTACTTATTGTGCGATATGTTTCATTTGATTTACACGTTTTGTTGAATACAGACACACTGAAATTACTCTGGCTTGAGTTTAACTGATGATTCAACTGATTATGTATATTAACCATCCAAACCGTGTCTGTACTCCACAGCACAAAATTTCGTTCCAGTGTGCAACTTGTGGTGCATCTGAGCATAGCATTTTCTCCTTCATAAGCCGTGACAACTGATGTTCCCTCAATCTCGACACAGTGTGCACACAACAACTTTAACATAAAACACAACAACATAACCAATGTTCCAATACCTGCCATGTTGTTCCTTGGTATACGAAATCACAAAATAACTTCTGATCTGCGATAACCTTCGTCAGGCAAATGATAAATGGTATTGTATATCGCGTACCAAGTTATGATGTATCTCTGTATTAAACTTTGTATTCGAGCTCAAACTGAAAGATACAGTAGACTTAATCACGAATAAACCTATTAAATGTAGGCCTAGTGTTGTTTTTTCTTCCGCTTCGAAAGTCACATTTGAAATACATCTAATGAGACAAAACTTACAAGTTTTACTTTCATTTATATACATCGATGTATTTAGTGATAGACCTATTGCATTGAAATGAAGGCAATTGTTGCTAATTGAACATGACAAATCTATGATTGTATTGTATCGTGATGTACTTTCTTGATGAACCTTTGAAGATCTATCTTACTTATCCTTGTCACCTTTCCAGAGCATAGGCCACCAAATTCGGAACTCCATCTAATATATTATAGATATACGAGCAGTGCTGCCTGTGCAAAGCATTGGGGCCCAGGACTATTAGAGGCCCATTCATAAATAGACCTAAAAATAATTAAATAATAATTTCCAATTTAATTTTGAAAAAAAAAAACGGGCAGCTGGCCCCTCAATAATATTCAGTTTTTAGAGGAGTAATTAATTTTTGTTTTGTTTATTCCCCGACAATATTTACTCGTCTTCCCCGACGTGGGGAGGGTGGGGTGAGGGTGGGGACTATAGCCCCCCAGTCCCTCTGGGGGCCACCACTGTAGTGTATTCAAGGGAGCCACAGCCGGCCGGCCAGACCCCGTATATTTTCAAATTATAAAAAACTTATGTTCATTATATTGTAAGTCTGAGAGTGCCATTTTCGGCCATCTAGAGTTGCTATAATCATACATTTTCTTACCTCAGCTCCAGTTATGGCATGGCTGAGGTAGTCTTCATTCTCCACTACCTTTGAAAATCTCTCCCTAGCCGGCCCCCTCTATTAGAATTACCTGATTCGCAACTGCACTGGTTTAATTTTACGTGTCACCAATTTTCTCAATAGCTTAGAAGACCCGCTGAGACCGAATATGCTCCTCTTAAAATAGTTACGAATCTGATTATCATTAGTATTTATTACTAGCCTAGGCCTTTAGAAGTAGGGGGAAGAGAAGCACTTCTTACGATGAACTTTTTGAGAACTGAGAGAATTCCCCTCTCACATCAAAGGGTCCGGCAATTAATCTTGCACTGAGCCCTTTAGCTACGCCGCTAGCGCCTGCCCTC